TCTGCCAGTTTGAGGCAGGAAAGGTCATGCTGCCAGGTCTGGTAGAGGATCCCGGCGCGCGCAGGTCACTGCAGTGTCAGGCTCAGGTTGCCCTTTCAGGTTTGGCCTCAGGTTGCGTGCCGCAGTCGAGGGCTTCAGGCGCAGGTGGGTGCCCGAGCAGGTCAGGTGAGAGGGCTGAGGACATGTGGCAGTTGCAGCAGTCTTTTACGTCAGGTTGCACGGTGCCCTCTGCGTTTGAGTGTGAGCGCAGCCTACAGGTTCGTCAGTGTCATGCTCCTGGTCCCGTTGTGTCAGGACCTTTTCGCGGAGAATCGGCAGGTCTTGACCCAGGTTGCGTGCCTGTGTCGGAGGGCGAGGAGTGTCAGGGCCCTTTCTGTCAGCGCAAGGCAGGAAAGGTGCTGTCAGGTTGAGGCTCCAGGTGCACACAGGTCAATGCAGTGAAGCTTCCCTCCGCCTTTGCCCTTGTCCTTGCCCTTCTGGTTTTGTGCACCTTTCTGCTGACTGGCGCCATTGGCTGGAGCTTCAGCCTGCGCCTCACCTTCTCCTTTGCGCTTGCGGCGTCCTCGGCAGAAAACGACTTGCTTGACAATCATACTGGGAATCAGCGCCTGGACTTGGGTCACCACCTCATCCCCTTCTTGTAAGTAAACGCGGCCCTTAGGGGGAATCCTATCATTGACCATCTGAAATACCTTCACCCAGGGGTCCTCAACCTTAGGGGGCACTTGAGGCTGAGGTGGCTGTTTCCCAAGCAAACGTCGGCGCTTCAAAACTTGCTTGGCCACTGTCAGGTCAGAATCGGAGCCCTCACGCTTATGTTCCCCAACTAGCAATTCTTCTACAGGAAGAGGCATCCCTGTTTCTCTTTGGAGGCACAAGGCTACTTTATCCGCAAACCTATTGCATCGTGTGGGGTGACGTGACCTGTGCTGGATGTGGGTGTCATGCTTGGTGATGGGTTGCTGCGCTTGTCTGTTATTGGTTCCTGCTGTGATTCTGGTATCCAAAGCTTGCTGCAATGCTCTGGAGGTGGTGAACACAACGGTCTTCTTGTTGAGGTGGTTGTTCCCTGAGGGCACCGTCTTTCTGCCCAAGTCCGCGGGATTGTGGACCAAACAGAGCATGCCTTGCTGGACCTCCGCCAGATGACAGGACATATGACCAAACATTTCGGGTTCCCCGGTAAGATGCAGATGTCGACCCCTCTCTATCTGGTAGTAAAACAGTTCCCGAATGAGGTCTTCTGGCCAAAATGGCACCAGCTTCTTGCCCTGTCTCTGTTTCCACGGACGTGTCAGGCTAAACCAAATGTGCTCCGGCTCATACATGGACACTGTTCTCCACAACTTTCTAAAGTCAGTGATCATGTCACGCTCCTGCTGCAAGGTGACCACTCTTTGACCATGCTCCCGGAGAACTTGTCCTACCATGCCGGCACCGATCTGCGTGATTTCAAGAACATCCAAGGATGGCATTCAATATTTATTGGCAACTTCATGGGGACTACGAGCTTCATGATTTAATTGTTGCTCAATGTTGAGAATACTCTGCTCGATCTGTGTACACAATGACGCTACGAATGCCGAATCCTGGGATTCCTCAAAATCACTATGGCCTTTGCCTCGGCCATCCGGGGATTTCCCTCTGCCACTCACGAGGTCTCCTGGTCCTGCTGGGACTGCTCTGCCTCGTGCAGCAGCTGGAGCTCCCTCTCCAGCAACACTTTCCGCATTCGGAGTTGATCTCGATCCAAGTCCACCGGCATCCTCGTCGATGATGTCGGCAGGCTTCGTCTCTTGGAGCTGGCTCTCACTGCTGCCCCAAAAGCTTCCTTGGCTTCCGGAGGCTTGTTCATCGGCCCGGCTGTCTTTCCCATTGTCCCCGACTTCTCCGGATGCTGGCATACCTTCAGTCGTCGAGGTCCGAGGTCTCGTCGGGCACCGCCTTCTGAAGCTGCTGCTGAGCCATCTTTTTCAATCTGGCTTGGCTGTATCCTTTGAAGCTCAGGGCCCACGCCGAGGTGAGAGTTGATTTCCTTGCCATAACCATGGCATATCGCATGTCCAGTTGGAAGATCTCTCCGAACGTCTTGTTGCGGTGTTTGCCTTGCTCGGCCTTGTGCATGCTCCATTCCTGCAGATTGGTCACTCCAACCGGTCTGACATAGTCCACTTCCAGAAACTCTCGGAGGCATTGGGTCTCCGGTGCCAACTTGCTGTCCTCTGGACCCGATAATGGTTCTTCCATGTTGATGGTTGGCATCTTCTTCTGGAGCTTGTCCGCTGCCTTGCTCAGCGAGGCCGGCGTGACCGTCATGCAGGGAAGGCTGGGAAATGAAGTCGGTGGCACAGGCACTTGGTTTGTGAATCGGCTGCTGCGGCAAGCTTGGGTCTTGCTCTCGCTCAGGTGCGCTGGCTTTGTTGTGCGTTGTTTCGTGGGTGCAGGTGAGGTCTTTACCTAGAGTGGAAGTGTGCAACACTTTGTCAGCCTGCGGTGCAATGTCAGCAATCAAGTGCGCCACTGCTCGCGGCGCCAGAAGCACTGCTGCCAAGTCCACTATAGATAACCCCCTCTCATCAAAACGTAAAGGGATTTCTGCCCCTCCTCCAAGATATAACATGCCCCTTCTGACATAGATTGCAGCATCTAGATCCCTTAGCAACCTGTTCGAAATCAACAGAGGTGTGTTTCCTGGAACAATCTCGACTCTGACCCATTTGGCGCCACTTGCTGGAAGAGTAAGGCATGTTTTGCTGATAGCGTGCCGCTGTTACCAAAACGAAAGGTGATATCGGACTTGACCTTCCGCACCTCTCTCCGGCAATCTGCTGGAAGCCCTTGGATCATATCACGCACCCTCTCGGAACCCACTACGGTACGACTGGCCCCTGTATCTAGAACCCCTTCGGCCCCAGTAGTGACCACTAGAATACTCTCCCCAGGTTCCGGATGCAACTGTGCTCCAAGCTTCCGGCTACAGCTATCCTTGCCTATGTCTGGCCTTGTGCCAGCCTCCATCTCAGCCAGCGAACGCCGTGCGGCTTCTTTCGCCCATTTAGGCGTCCTGTTATTCATTAACATCTTGCGTGCAAAAGTGGCTTCGAAAGCTGCCCTAGGCTTCACCTCTGGTGACGCAGTCAGACAGACATGTTCTACACCACAAATTCTTCCCCCTGACTCTTGGCATGGCATGTCCGCCTGTCTGTCCTCTTCTTCGGCACTGTCTTCATGGTAGTAGACGGCGTCCATGGGCATGTCGGAGGAAAGCTCGGGCAGGTAGGGATTCTCGACCTCCGCTTGCGTGTAGTGGGAAATCTCGGTCTTGTCCTCTCTCTTTGGACATTCCTTTTCCAATGTCCACGTGCTCCACACAACCTGCAGGAGCTTGAAGCGATGCGGTCCGCTAGCGATTTGCGGCGGAAGCCCTCTCCGGAATGGGCCTTGCCTTTCTTCTGCACAGCTCCCTTCGCTCCCTTCCCCTTTGTCCTGAAAAAGCCCCTTGCCTTGGCTTTTTCACGCAAGCGTTGTCTGGCTTCAAGGTATGAAGTGAATACCGGGGCCAACGCAGACTCTTGGACAGCCTCGACGATACCGTCTTCGAACTCGGTGATGTAGGCAGCGTCTTCGTCGCCCTGGTCCAAAAACATCATCAAGATGTCCTCGTCATGGTCGTCCTCTTCGGTCATGTAGAGCTCGTCATTGGTATCCTCCTCCATGGCGGCATTCACGTCATAAACCTTGTTGCGCTCAGGACCTTTGCTGCTCGTTCCTCGGTTCTGGAGGTCCGAGAAAAACTTGGAGTCCAGTAATCTGATCGACTTGATCGTGTCCTGGTACTTCAGGTCTCCTTTGGCTTCGACCACCACCCGCTTCTTGTCTTCGGCGCCCAACTGGGAGTGCCTCAGAAGGATGTACGCCCGGATCTCCTCGATGGTCACCTGCCTGGCCAGGAGTTCTTCAAAAGCCGCGTCGTGACGAGAAATGTAGGAGTCATTGCTTTCATCGGCCTTCTGGGTGACCACGAACATGGCCTGCTCGAAGTAGTGGTATTTCTCCTCTACTGCAGTCTTACCCCAGGAGCCGCCCAAGGATTCCACCAAAAGCTTCACTCCATCAGCTGATCTCAGTTTCTCTGGCGAAATGCGACTGATCTTATGGAAAGCCGCCCCTTCTACCATCAACGCCGCCCTTGGCGCCAGATGCTGGACTTGATCTGCTGGCCACAGCTCTTTGAGGAATCGAAGTCTTTGACTGTACTCATCTACATTCGTCACTCCAGGCGTGAATTTTGGCACTTGCTGCCACGGCAGGTGTCCCAAACCCCCGGTCGTCTGACCTTCTGTTTCAGTCCCCATGGCTCGCACACTACCCAGGTGGTCGTCAAACCCGTCTTCAGGATCCTTTCCCCAGATTCCTGAATCACCCCGTTTACACTAAGTATATATATACAGCCTAAATATATATACACACTAGTGACGGACCGGGCTCCGCTACCAATGTGAATATGCTCCCTAGGACCCAGCCTAGGAGCCCGATCCGTTTACCCTAAAGATCCCGAAGATACCTAAGACCCTGTCTTAAAGAATAGGCCCTGCCCCTCCGTAGCTGTAAAGGAACCCTGGCAACCCTGTGCACTCCTTTAGTCCTGGTCAAGCTACCTCGTCCCTCCCGCCTCTGAGCTGTCAAGGGCAATCGGCAGGAGACAAGTGAATCTTGCCTGGTCCAAGCCTAGTGGATTCACACATCATGTCATCATCATCATCATCATCACTATTTCTAACGAAGAACTTCACACGAGCTGTCATATGGGTTCAGCAGGGAAATGTTCCTTCATGCCTGATGTAACGGCTAAGGTTGGTGTGCGCCCCATTAGCCATAATTACCTTGGAATTTGTTTCAATGTCATTCTTGTGCCGCCTGGACAGGCGCATGTTGGGGATGCTCTCAGTTTGACCGGCTTCTCAAGTGTCAGTTCTCGAGTTATTCTTTGCAGTCAGGTCATGGAGCAGATAGGCGCTCAACGCTGCCTGAAGAAGCAGAACCCGGGATTCTTTGAGAGTCTCGGGCGCACAAGAGGTGCCGGGGCTGGGGATGGGGGTCTCAGCCCTGCGGCTCCACCAGTCCAAATGTGCTGCGGGTCTGGCAACGGACTGAAGAAGGTGTGCTTGATTGTTACAGACCTGTCGTTTCCTCAGGCCACATGATTCCCACACGTTAGAGAGTAAGGTGCAGTGAGGAGTACATACCAGTACGTAGTACTTAGCCGGCATTCCTTCAATCCGAGTTTGGGACATGGGTTTGTACTGGAACGGCGCGCGGGCACGAACCTAAACGTGGGCTCGAGAGCTGCAGATTCACTTTGCATCTTTGGCTTTCCATGTTTACCTTCTATACCTCGATCGCCTTGATCGTGAACATTTGAGTTGACCAGGCTGCGTCTCACATGAACTGACCAAAGGGGACCAATAGTTGCTACCCTTCGATCCATAAACTACTCATCCGGAGAGTGAAGTAATTGATCTAATCTGGACCTCTGCTTGCAAGCTCAAAAATTAAGGCTACCGCTCAATACGAAAGGTCCGCAACAAGGGTGAGCGCACATCCCGATCCAGACCCCGATCCAGAGCTCTGGATCAAGTCCTCGGATTCCGTTCCAGACCCCTTCGTTCCAGACCAACGAATGCAGTATCTCAAAATTGACGTTGCGCTCGGTGTCCTTTCCATGCCCGTGGATTCCATACCTGTTTCATACCCGTTCCAGACCAAACCAAGTATCCAGCACATACTCACCCCGTATCACTTGTAGGAACCAGGAAGAGTCAGTCACCGTTCCAGACCCTCCGGATCATGTGTGCGATGCAGACCCTCCGGATCAGGCAGCATAGGAACGTGCACCCGGGGCACGTGGTTTTGATCAGTAGCCAAAAATATTGCAAAGCCAGGGGAACCAGTGGATGAAAGTGATCAGGATAGCTAGAATGTGGCACTACTGCTTCGAACACATGCTGTGGTGATCAAATTCCGTTTCGTCTCAACATTCTTTCGCAGATCGCAAGGCGAGGAGCAGCTGTGGTTTGACCATGTGGAGCTTGTGGAGTTGGTGGTTGCCATTACAGGCGACGCTCGTGCTTGGCAATGTCAGCAATTGCACTGAGGGTTACATCGGGTTGTCTTTTGCCACAAGTCGAACTTGCGGCAAGCAGGCCTCAACCAAAGCTGCGGATTATCCAACATTTGCACGTGCGGCTACTTGAAAGGTGTGAGTGATTGCTCCGGTGTGTTCAGGGGGTTCCCTGCTTCTGCAGCGAGCACATCCGATCGCCGTGATGGGCGCCAGTCTCTCGATAGCAAGCGGGACAAGCACAGGCTTGCAGCATAGCTTGCGGCAACGTTGTCGGCATCTTTCAGGCATCAGGCACTTTATAGCCGAGGTCTCACGAACATTCTTCTGCTCACTTGGATCGATGTAAGGCGAGGATGGGGTTTCCGCTTTAAAAATCTCCATGAGGGTGCCTAAGGCCGTGGCAAGCCCCACACGACTAAATGTTGAGGGGTAAAGTCGGAGTTGTAAACTCTTGTTGTTGACCTTGACCTTGTCAAGGTTGCATGAGTCTGCCTGGGTCCTCGATCTCAAGCCCTCTTCAGCCGAACACGTGCCATATGTAGCGGTGATGGTTCAAATTATCGTGCTTGCTGCCTTGACTGCTTGGAGATGACAGCATGAGTGCCGTTTGTGTTTCAGGCTTCCCAGGTTCAGCGTGAGCCTGAAAACGACATTCAACGTAATGTTGAGCACGTGCCTGGGCAGACACTGCAACACTGTTTTGTTGAAGCTGCCTTCCGAGAACAAGAGTCCCACTTAATTACATTTAGCTTCAGCCACTGGGTTGTCGGGAAGGGTGTGCCATCAGCCTTCCAATTGATTTTGGCGTGAAGTGCGTCTAGGTAGGCGTGGTTTGTTGGAAGGTTTTGTACACTTTTGGTTTTTTGACCCGAGACCCGCACGGGTTGGGTGTACGGGTTCTAGAGCTTCCGAACTTGGACATGGCGGTGCCTGGGGCCCAGCTTTTGTCAGCAGTGCGTTGCGTGGGCCACCTAGCAGGGCACAAGACCTGCAGCTGACAACGGCTTTGGCAAACTCAAAGGGCAATTGGCAAGATGATGCACGACGTGCCTTCTTACTAAAGCTATCAAAATACCCTCCCGCAAATCTACACAAGTGCCTGGATCCAGAAGCAGTTCTCAGACATGGGTGCATGAAAAATGATCGGCTTGTACCAAGGCACGGGGCCCACACCCGTTATGTACCGCGTTAGTGGGATTTGTAACAGCCAGCGGTTTCCGCGACAACCCCCCCAGCATGACCATTTACAGACAGAACGCGATAGAGGGAATGTAACATGCTGGTGTTTCAAGGGTTTGCGGCGCACACCCATATATGAGGGTTGTCCAAAAACCCTCGTCTATAATTTTAAATCAACGAAAACCAAGTATAAGATAATTTGTCAAAAACCTTGCGCGCGCAAGCTCCGCGCAAGGTTGGCGCCAGGGTTCGAATACGCTCGTGAGATTTAGTTTTAATGTGATGAGCCTGCGTGAAAACCATTGTGAGCCAAACTGTGCGCGCGCAAGCTCGCGCAAGCTCGCGCAAGCTGCGCGCAAGCACGGCGCAAGCCCCCAATTCGAGATGAAGGCATATTGGACAAACCCCCAAAGGGCTTGCAACCAAAACATAGGACCCCAAGAAGACTATGACCCAAAATGACCCAAAATTATAAACGGCAGTGACCGGCAGCGATTCTTTCCAACAACAGATGTCTCGAAGTCAGCCACAAAGCATTAATCATTAATAGCCACCACAGGTATTTGAACTACATTCCCTTCGGACTGCTTCGTTGGATGATTCTGGTATTGGTTTGTCTTCAGCTGGTGGACTATGTTGCCGTGGTGAGAGGCGCTCCGCCTTGAAAACCTTTGCCACCAAGAGCTTTCTTTTGAAACGGTTCGGAATTCGGAATGGAAAAAGCTCAATCTGTCAGCCATATCCTTCCAAACAGAAAAGGGGCACAGGGGTGGGCAAGGTTTCAATTGCGGAGGTGTCTAAGAGTGTTCTTTTCTTTCACACTTTGGTTGTCCATTGCTTCAGAGCTTTCGACTTCTACATCAGGTTTTATCCTGCATTGTTTTCACAAGATTCCGAATGGCTTTTGCCTGGCAGGGCAAGTTTGCTGTTGAGTAGGAGAGCAGGACAAACCAGAAGCAAAGTGGCCAAGAAAGGCGTCTGGGCTTCCATCGATCGTTTGCGGGAAAACGCCTTGGGCTTGACACGGCTCGTGTCTGCGCGGAGTCACGGCAGCACGCCGGCGTGCAATCTGGTCTTCGGACTGGGCTGTTTGTGCACATGTCTGCCAGCACGTACAGGATGACAGGGATATTGCAGCGAGCCCAAGCAAGCGAGCTTCATGATGACTTCCTTCTTATGGGCGACGTAGGAAATTGTGAAGATGATGAGCTCCTTCACGTTCACATCCACACTTTGTGCCTTTACCTTGACGATGCTTCTTCGCCCAGCATGTGAATGAGGTGGCGGGTCAGTGGAGTTGTCGCTCAGATCAGAGGACTGCGGCAGCTTCAAAAGTGATAAGTTTACCTTCTGTTCCCAAGTCCGCTCTGCGATGGGCTGCTTCAGATGTTGAGGAGGTCTGCGAAACGATGCCCAGCGCTGGGCAAGGCATCACCGAGGACCAGCCTGAGGACGGAAGGCGCGGATCATGGCAAATGGCTTCGCAAAGGCCAAGGCTTACTGGTTCCTTGCCTGCATGCAATCTATGCCAAATAATTCCAAAAAGAGTTTGTGGATGCCAGAGGTGTTGCTCTGTTGAACCAAACCGTATATTGATTCACTCCCCGCAGTGACTTCTTTGGAAGGCCGGGGATGTCGCTGGAAGCACCGACCTCAATCTGATCTAGCTGGGACTTGCCCGTTGCACTGTTGTGCATGACCTGTCCCCTTGCTTGGAGTCAGGAGCTTTTCTGGATGTTGCTTGTTTCGGCCATTGCAAAATTGTTTGGAGTTTGGATGAGCTCCAAGAGTTGAGTCACATCTTGTTTGGCCCGGAGGCCTGCGAGCTTTGTAAAGTTCACATTTTTGTGGGTGCTGCGTTGTCCCACACGAGACTAGCAAATTCAGATTTTGGTGGGCCTGCTGCGTTTTCCCACACGAAATTGGCAAATTCACATTTTCGTGGGCCTGCTGCGTTTTCCCACACGAAACTGGCAAATTCACATTTTTGTGGGCCTGCTGCATTTTCCCACACGAAACTAAGTAGCAAGTTCAGATTTTTGTGGGTCTGCGGCGTTTTCCTACACGAGACTGGCAAATTCACATTTGTGTGGGTCTGCTGCGTTTTCCCACTCGGAACTAGCAAGTTCACTTTTGTGTGGGCCTGCTGCGCTTTCCCGCACGAAAATTGCAAGTTCAGATTTTTGTGGGACTGCTGCGTTTTCCCAGGCGGGAACAGCAAGTTCACTTTTGTGTGGGTCTGCTGCGTTTTCCCGCACGAAACTAGCAAGTTCAGATTTTTGTGGGACTGCTGCGTTTTCCCATGCGGGAACAGCAAGTTCAGATTTTTATGGGTCTGCTGCGTTTTCCCACATGAAACTAGCAAGTTCACTTTTGTGTGGGTCTGCTGCGTTTTCCCACACGAGACTAGCAAGTTCAGATTTTTATGGGCCTGCTACATTTTCCCACACGAGGCTAGCAAGTTCAGATTTTGGTGGGCCTGCTGCGATTTCCCATACGAGACTACGTAGCAAGTTCACATTTGTGTGGGCCTGCTGGGTTTCCCACACGAGACTGGCAAGTTCACATTCTTGTGGGTCTGCTGCGTTTTCCCACACGAAACTTGCAAGTTCACATTTCTTATGGCTTACGGTGCAGCTGTTTGCGCGGTTGACTAGAAGACAATACAATTGCATTGGTGGACCTGAACAAGCACATGCTCCAAGCAAATGTGGAAAGTACTGTTCCGCAACCACTAGTGATCGTTCTACACGCAGGGGGGGGCATGAGTGACCCGGACGTGTACGTGCGCCGTCATGTCCGATAAACCTGACAGGTTGCCGAGTTTGAGTGACTTGATGAGTCGCCAGCAGAAGCGTGCTGACCAACACAATCCGGATGTCACGATGTCTTTGCGAAATCGGTTGCAGGCATTCATAGATGAGCATTGCAAATGGTGTGACACAGTCGCGGCAACACATGTGAGTCAGCTGAAGAAAGCAGCAGCTGAGCATTGCCGCATCAGTGTTCGAGATATTGGACCGCACTCGGAATCAAGTCTGAGTGTCGCGGTACTGGTGACGGTGGTCGAACGTTAACCGAGCCAGAAGTACGGAGCCAAATGCTTGAGATTGCTCGATGATGCATGAGGATCTAATAAACAAGTCACAGTACAGCAAGGGTCACTTCCGTAAAGCATGGTAAAGCCAATCAGAGCGTCTTTCTGACGCCTGACTGCCAAGCTATGCGGAGCTGAGGTCATGGTTCTTCCAGAGGCCATTGCAGAGCTCCGCGAGGACCCTTCAGCCACAAGCGCTGCTTAGATAGCAGAAGTGAAATGTCCCAGTGCAACTTGCATGGTTTCAATCGCGTGACAGCTTCTCGCATGTGCGCATGGCAAACCCCAAACTACAACGTCCCTCCTGCAGTTGGGTTTGATGGCCTCACGCAGGCAAGGAGCCCAGCCAGATCCACTGTCGCACTACATTATCTGGTGTCGCTTGAACACGTCTGGTCCTTCATTGATGGCATTGCCAGGACTCGAGAAACTCCCGCGCCGCTGGAGAGGCCTCTCAAACAGAACTGAACAAGCTAGCAGTTTATGTTCGTGACATTCCACAAGGACACAACTGATTCGCGTGAGTGCGGTATGAATGAGCAAACATGAGCAAACTTGGAGCCCAGAGGTCTGCTCCGTAAGCATGAAGAGGAAGGCGAGGCAGGCTGCCTGCCAGGAGAGCCCATCCAGCTTGGCAGAGGATGTCTTCCATCCAGCTCTGGCAGTGTTGCGGCTGCTTGGACGAATTTGTAGAAGCCTGGGTGGTGTTTGATCTGGCATCTTCCCAGGCCCTTTGTAAAGCGCACATGCAAACTTAAGACATTGCGGACATTCTGGACGCCACAAGACTAAAAGCAAGATGCTCTGTCAAAGAATGCCAGACATCCTGCCCAGACACAGCCACCGCGCGGATACTGCGTTTGATTCTGAGTGGCACGAGACGGACGACAAGATGCAGCCTCTCGGATTGGCCCGATTTTGTTTTTTGTGTTAATGTTGCAAGCGTGAGTGATTTCAAGCTGGCTGTAAAGATTGCATGCGATCAGTTGCTTTTCAACACATCCCTGCGCTTGAGTAGTATTATGAGCTTGCAGTGTGCAGCATGGCTGAATTCTCTGCTGCGCCAGGCCGTGTCGAATTTCTGCCAAGTAACTCTCGTAATTAATGCTTGTGCCAGCCCCAGGGGGTGGAGGATGCTGCGCATCACCTCCCAAGGGGAACCCTGCAGGTCGTGGCAACGCATCTACAGTCTTCACACAATCGAGCACAGCGTGTCGAGTTAAATGCACTACGAAATTCGCCCGCAGACGACTAACCACACTTGAGGGATGATAAAAAACCCC